GTGTGTAACAATAGCACCAACACTTATACATATAGTGCCTACTGTGTGCTGGGAACATCAAGGTAAATGGGTCACACAAAGTCTCTGCCCTAACGGAGCTTATGTTTTAGCAGAAGAGAGGGGCATTAGCAAGTATAGACACTTTCATGGTGGTAAATGCTATGGGAATACACTTGGGTGGTGGGAGGAGTAGCATGGGGGATAGGGCACGCAGAGAGTGGGATCCTCTTTAGGAAGGGTGTTCAGCAAGGCACCCCCTGCCTACAAGACACTTCTGCCTCAGCCCCCAGCCCGGCTCACAGCTGCTCCCCGTCTCCAGGCCTCCAGTGGGGAACTCGGTGGGCTTCATGGAGGGACCAGACTCCCCACTGAGGCCAATAAATAGGAGATTCGTTGACAATGTCTACACACACAGAAAACATTCTTAGATGTAATATCCAAAGAACATAATGGATTTTATTTGCTCTCCCCCCCTTTTATTTTCTGTACCAAAAGGAGGTTTACTGAAGTCGGTGTATATTGGTTGTGGGAGGGGCTGCACAGACTACTGGAAGCTCATCCTAATTCTTCCCCATTTGTCACCTCACCACTCACCTCCTCGGGGCCCTTCTGAGCTCAGAGTGACTCTTTCTGCAGGAGAGTCATGCGCCGTGCAATGGGTGCAGAGGGAATGTGGGAGACAGCACCCAGAGAATCACTGGCATCATCTTTGCACATTTAAAATTCGAGTTTATGGGCTTTGTCTCTTTTGCCCGCGGTTTCCTCGTTGTGGAGCTTACATTTTTATTTGCAGGAATAAAAGTCAGTGGCAGCTGATGCGGCCCTCTGGAGTTAGAAGCAATAACTATTGTGGGCAATGCAGCCTGGAAAATAATCATAATAATAAGCAGCAAAAGGGGAGACAGCTCTTTGAAGGTAGTTGATGAATGGCTATAGACTCAGGAACACCTCCCCGCCCTCGACCCTGTCCCCCACCAAGCACACCCCGCCCCCAACCTCCCTGCAACCCTGAAAGAATCCCAATAAAAACATGCAGCACACAGAGAGCCTGGTACGTGGGAAGGAAGCTGGAAGAGGCTTGTCCCAAGGGTCCTCCAACCGAAAGGCTAAAGTAGCTGCTGAGATGAACGGGTGTCCCTGGAACAGAGAGCGAAGGGGGATGAGACTCCTTGAGCCTCAGTTTCCCCATCCATATAATGGGATGAGCATAACTTGCTTCATAGTTGGTGGCTTATAGAATATGTAAAGCATGTGGGCACCTGGATGGTTCAGTTGGTTAAGTGACCAACTTTGTCTCAAGTGATGATCTCATAGTTTGTGGGTTCGAGCCTGGCACCGGGGTCTCTGTTGTCAGCACAGAGCCTGCTTCTGATCCTCTGTCTCCCTCTCCCTTTGCCGCTCCTCTCTCATACACTCTCTCTCAAAAATAAATGAACATTAAAAAAAAAGAATATATAAAGCATGTAGCACAGAGCCTGGTACACAGTAGAACGTCAATAAATAATAGTTCCATATCTTTCTTCCTATCCTAGGGCTGAGGATGGAACTAGTGATACTTTTCTAGGAGAGGAAGGGGGAGAAACCCAGGGGGAAGTAGTTGGATTTGATCTGGTCCCTTGAAAATGCCCAGTGGAAGGGATGTGAAGGTGCCACAGAAGGCTAATGGGATCCCTCACTTCTGAACTCCATCTCCTCTGCTTCTGACTGCTCCACCTGCCCCCCCCGCCCCCCCCCCCCCCTCCTCCCAGCCCCATGCTCTCTGCCTCCTAGTGCTTGGGCTTTTATGGTCTGCCTCCATGCTGTGAGCCTTAACACATCTATCTTTCTCCTGTGTTCTACATCTCCTGCTCTGCTGTACATGGGGTCTTGCTCACTATGATGTGACCAGACACAGCATTTCTTTCTTTCAAGGGGATCTTAACATTTTTTGGAATTACACCATGTGCCCATACTGTGTAAGTCATGCTGTAACATTATTTTTCTAATGCATAAAACAATCCAAGCATAAGGCATTGAACTTTCCATCTTACAGAGAAGCCAACTTGGGTTCTGGAAGGGTGAGTGATTTTGCTGTGAGTGAGCAAGGGGTCTGTAACCCAGGGCAGTCAGATGCCAGGGGCCATGCTCTTTTAATGGCACCAGGTTGCCTCCAAAGGAGGTAAAGAGACCTGAGTGCTAGTGGGCATTCAGCTAGTAAGCTGAGCAGAGCCCACCTGTCCCAGTAGTAAGATCCAAGGCAACTTTCCCACCCAGTGCCCAGGCTCTGGGACCCTCATGGTAGGAAAGCATGGTAAAGAGTGTTTGGTTGAATCCACCCCTCTACCACCTCTGTGACCTCTGCTCCAATACTTGCAAAGATGAGGGTCTCACTCCTACCAGGGGCCAGCATGTTGTAGTGCAGCAGTTCTCAAAGTATGGTACCCACAAGAGAAGCTTCAGCATCACCTGCAAATCGACGAGAAATGCAAATTCTTGAGCTCCATCCTAGAATCAGAATTAGAAACTTCAGCGGTGGTGCTTTAACAAGCTTCTAGAAGATTCTAATGTTGCTCGAGTTTGAAGCCCACTGTCTTAGTGGAAAGGAAAGGAGCTTTGGGTCAGGGAGAAGCGGACTCACCACCCTGGTACCTACTATTTGTGTGATTTGGGGCAAGGTAGCTGGGAAGGTTTTATAACAATGATGAACATTTATTGAGCACTGTGGTAGACTGAACACTGCCCGTTCATCATCCCCAAAGATGTTCCAATCCCCAGAACCTGTGAATATGTTGCCTTTTACAGCAAGATGGGCTTTTAGGAATATTGATGTGTGTGTGTGGGGGGGGGGGTGGGTGTGATTTTCTGGGTGGGCCCAATTTAATCACAAATATCCTTATAAGAAGAAGGCAGGAAGATCAAAGAGAGGTGAAGGTGGCGTGAGGACAGAAACAGAAATTGGGGTGATGTGGCTGTGAGGCAAGGAATGCCAGCAGCTGCTAGCAGCTGGAGGGGAGAAAGGAACGGATTCTCCCCTGGAGCCTCCACAGGAGCTGACCCTGCCCACACCTTGCTTTTAGTCATGGAAAGCTCATTTCATACCTCGGACTTCCGGAAGTGTGAGGGATAAATTTATTGTCTTAAGCCACAAAATAAAGCACGGAGGCCAGCCTCCAGAGAGCTATCTGGAAAGTATGCCCAACCAGAATGCCCTTCCTGGCTAGGTGCCAGGGCTCCCCTGAGGTTCCTATCCACCCCACAGTGAGAACTACATTCTGGCTCTCGTTGCAATGTATACACATGTGTGGGCTGTATTTCATTCATGCCAGAATCTGACACATGGGCAGAATTTTTGTAGTAAGCATATGGCTGGGAACCCTCAGATAACATGCTCAGTGGGGACCCATTTTGAACCAAAATTTTGAGTGAAAGCATAATTCAGCAAAGAAATGAAGACTGGGATATGCACAGAAGAGCCCTTAGCCTTCAAATGTAGAACTTCCTGTGTGTGCATGTGCGTGTGTGTGTGTATCTATCTAGATGTGCGATGCATGCTTGACTGTGTATGTTAGAGTATATCTGAAGGTGTGGCCACGTGTGAATTGCATGAGTCCTTGTGTATTGGGAAATGTGTCAATTCTGAGGGTTATTGGGAAGCAGTAAGGGGGTCATGGTTTCAGAGTGTGAGTGTGTGCATGGCTGGGTCTGTGCGTGTGTATGAGTGTGTCCTGAGCATGTTTTCACAAAAGCAGGTGAGTGTGTCATGTATGAATAGTAGAGTAAAGGCATGTGCATCTGGGAGCGAGAGCAGTTTGTGTGACCATGCACACCTGAGTGTGAACTCACATGTGTGTGTAATGGTGTGAATGAGTGTGTGAGTGTTCTGCACCTCTGTGCTTCTGCATCTCAGTGAATGCTTTTGGCTAAACAGACTCAAGGTTGCCTCTCAGCCCGTGTTTGCAGAGCCTGGTGTTTTATGACTGAGCCTCCTGGGTACAGTTTCAGTGATGCCCAAACAACAAGGCCATTCAGTGAAAGATCCTGACAGATGGGCCACAAGTTTCCTTATCTCACAGCCCCAGGGTTGTGTAGCTTAATTTAGATCCCTCTTTTAGCAGAGTGTTCTCAGTAGTCCTTCCAGAAGGCCTTGTGGCCTGGGAAACTGCTGTGCACACCAGATCCATGAAGGCTGTGCCTCCCAGCTGGTGCCTCCCAGCAAGTGAAGGAACACAGTCTTCATCGATTTCCTCGGGGTTCGGTCATCAGAAGCTGGGCCTGGGGTCCAATCCCTCCATCACTGCTGTCTTGCTCTGCAACTTTTTTTGATATGCTAAATGATATGCCCAGATTCCTTCAAGTGGAAAGGAAAAGATCAGAAAGGATCACAAGGCTGCTCAGAGGACGTCCAGGCTTTGACTTGAACAAGCCATTTTAGCGGTTTGCAGCCAGGCTGGGGACAGAAAATAGGTTACACATTTTCCAAATGGGGGCATTTTCTCCAGTCTGTAGATCTAATGGAGAGTTGAAGCCGCATTGAATTCGGGAGATCTCAGGCAGAGGGCATGGAGTGGAAGGAAGGGATGGAGAGAGACAAGTGCTATGCCCATGGGAGCAGCTAGGCAGTGACCTCTCAGGCTCTGGTTATACTTTGTAAAGTGCTTTCACAGACATCAAACTTTATTGTCACAACAACCTTCAGGAATAGCATTATTCGTGTTCTATAGGGGACAAATCCAAGACTCAGAGAGGTTAAGTGACTTGCCCAAGATCACACAGCTGCAAACTGCTGGAACTGGACTTGAATTTGGGAGAAGAGGACTCTGCTGTGGCATGAAACATGTGCTATCTAAGTAAGATCCCAGCCTTGGGCAGCTTGTAAAAAGTCACTGGTGGGTTGTCATGGTACCGTGTTCTTCCTCCACAGACATAGCCACACTCAATCCCTGGGCTTTTTCTTCTATTCTACATGGGTATGGGTATGTGTTTTGCTTTTTTTTTTTTTTTTATGATCTCTCCTTAGCCCCCAAATCAAGACAAAAAGTCATCAGGAGCTGCTGTGGGATAGCTGCCATGGGTGTGCTCTGAGCCAGATATTGTAAGGCGATCAATAAGAAGAAAGAAACTGTGGCCTTTGTTTATGATCTGCTACAGGAGGCGAGCCTCAAAGACCTGTCACTGTCTTGCTGGGTGACAGTAGGTAAGTCATTTGTTCATTTACTCTCCTTGACAGGGCCATCTGTTACTTGGCTCTTGAGCAGCTACCCCTCCCTCGTAGCTCTACCCCAGCTTTCCTCCGGGACTTACTCCGCCCTCCCCACTGGGCACTCTGTGGTGCTTCATGCCCTGGTGCCTGGATAGAGTGAGCGACTCAGACCTGGCTGGTCACAACATTGTGCTCACCTGGCCACAGTGGCTGGCACAGGGATGGGCATGTGACCCAGGTGGAGCCACAGTGTCTAAGGAGGCTTTGTCTGTAGCAGTCAGAGGGCGGCAGTGCTCAATTCTGGACTGGACACAAACTGGCGGAGAATATGGGAGGCTGTGGCTGCATGAGTGAGCTACCAGATGGAGCCTGAGAAAGAAGCCAATGCATAGAGAGGACCAGAGTCCTGGAGAAAGAGCTCAGGGTCTGGTGGCATTGTTGGGAGCCTCTGGAACCAGTTATGCTAAACCTGAAGCTGGCATATTAATTAGTGGCAGACTAAGTACTTTAATAAAGAGATGGACACATGCAGCGGTGTAAGCAAAACCCATTTTCTTCTCAGGTAACAGCCCAGCAATAAGAGGTCCAGGAACAAGAAGATGGCCCTGCATCCTCAACTCATGGTCTCTATCTTTAGTCCAAGACAGCTGCTCAAGTGCTTGTCTTTCCTTGGTTGGAGGGGGAAGGAAAGCAAGGGAAAGTATTTTTTTGTTTTTAATGAGTTTTATTGAGATACAACTTACAGCCAATATAATCAGTTTATTTTAAGCATCCTGTCCCATGACTTTTGACAAATGTATACTGTCATGGAACCACCAGTAAAATCAAGACAAAGAGCATCTCCATCCTTCACTGTTAATACCCTACCCCAACCCCAGCCCCAAGAAACACCAGCCCATTATCTGTAACTATAGTTACGCGTTTTCCAGAATTTCATGTAAATGGAGGCATACAATGTGGATCCTTTTCATCTTGCTTCTTTGACTTAACATAATGTTTTCAAGATTCACTCATATTGTAGCATGTGTCATTTATTGTTCATCTCTTTTTATGGCTGAGAAATCATCCATTGTATGGATCTGTCATAAGTTAGTTTTCCATTCATCGGCTGATTGTCATTAGGTCATTTCCAGTTTCTGTCTGTTATAAAAAAAAAAGCTTTTGTGAACACTTGAGTAGAAGTCCTTCTGTGGATATTTGCTTTCATTTCTCTTGGGTAAATATTTAGGAATGGAATTGTTCCCTTGTAAGTTGAGTGAATGTTGAACTCTGTAGGATACTGTTTTCCCAAATGGCTACACAATTTTGCATTTCCATCATCAATATAGATTTGGCCTTTCTATTAGTTATATAGTAGTGTCTCATTAAAGTTTTAATTTTAATTTCTTTAAAAGTAACTGTCTCAAATATCTTTTCATGTTCTTATTTGCTATCCATGTCTCTTTGGTGTTCAAATCTTTTTTCTGTATACTAAAAATAAAGCTTGGTCCATACCTTGTGCCATATGTAACAATGAACTCAAAGTGGATCATATGGATTTTCAGTAGTTCTAGTACCATCTGTTGAAAAGACTGTCCTCTGTTGAATTTCCTTGGCACTTCTGTTGAAAATAAATTGACCATATATGCAGGACTATTTCTGGACTCACTTGTGTTCCATGGATCTATGTGTCTATCTATTTACATACCACAGTTCTTCATTAATGTAATTTTATAGTAAGTCTTGAAGTCAGGTCGTGTGCATCCTCCAACTTTATTCTTCCTTTTCAATATCATTTTAGCTACTATACTTCCCTTGCTTTTCCATGTAAATTTTATTGATTGATTGATTCATTTGTTCATTCGCTCATTGATTCATTTTTTGAGAGAGTGCGTGTGTGAACTCGGGAGGGGCAGAGGGAGAGAGAATCTTAGGCAGGCTCCATAGCTGACTGTAAATTTTGGAAATAGCTTGTGGATTTCTATAAAAGTTATCCTGCAATTGTAATTGAAATTGTGTTGGGGCAACTGGGCGGCTCAGTTGGTTGGGTGTCTGACTATTGATTTCAGTTCAGGTCACGATCTCAGGGTCATGGGATGGAGCTCTGCTTGGTCTCTGCACTGTGTAATGAGCCTGCATGGGATTTTTCTCTCTCCCTCTCTTTCTGCCCCATTCCAGCTCATGATCTCTCTCTCTTTCTAAAATAATAAAAAAAAAAAAGAAATGGTGTTGACTCTGCTGATCAATTTGGGACAATTAAAATCTTAGTAATATTAAAACTTCTAATCTATGTATATGGAATATCTCCCCATTTTTAGATCTTTCTTGTTTTTTTCCATTAATTTTAAATAATTTTTGGCATGCAGGTTTGTACATATTTTGTTAGATTTATATTTAAATATCTTAGATTTTATGGTGCTATTGTAAATCATATTTTAAAATATAATTTCTATTATTAGCTACTAGTATATAGAAATATGATTGATTTTTGCATATTTTCCTTGTATCTTATGACCTTGATAAACTTGCTTATTGGTTCTAGTAGACTTTTGTTTTGTTTTGTTTTTTGGTGCCTTATTGCACTGGCTAGAAATTGTAAGAATGGAAATCTTTGCTCTGCCTGTCTCTAATTTGAGAGGCAAAGCATTCAGTCCTTCAATATTAAGCATGTTAGTTTTGGTTTTCCTTGGGTGTCCTTAACAAGTTGAAGAAGTTCTTTTTAATTCCTAGTTTCCTGCACATTTTTTATTAGGAATGATGCTGAATTTTGTGAAAGGTTTTTCTGAATCTATTGGTATGATAATAGTATTCCGTCTTTAGTCTGTTGATATGGTGAATTATATGATTGACTATTAAAGCACTCTTGCATTTCTGGGAAAACTTCACTTGGTCATAAAATGTTATCCTTTTATATGTTTTTGGATTAGGTTTGTTAATATATTGTTAAGGGTTATTGCATTTGTAGTTATGAAGGATATTCGCCTATAGTTTTTTCCCCATAATCTCTTTTCAGATTTTGATACTAGGATAATGTTGGTCTCAGAATGACGAAGTGCTTATCCTCTTGGGTATTTTCTGAAGGAGTTAGTGTAAGATTAGTGTTATTTTTTTTAAATGAAAATTTTTTTTCTTAAATAGTGTATTGTCAAGTTGGTTTACCCAGTGCTCATCCCAACAAGTAGCCTACCCCATGCCCATCATCCCCCCCCACACCTCCCCCCCCACGCCCCCCCTCCCCCCGTAGTGGAATCACTTGTGAAGCCATTTTGACTTGGAATTTTCTTTGTGGTTAAATTTTAAATTCCGAAGTAAAATTCTTTAATGGATACAGGGCTTTTAGGGACACATGATTTCTTGTGAGTGGGCTTTTGTACTTTGTGTCTTTCAGAGAATTTGTCCATTTCATCTAAGTTGTTGATATATTAGCATAAGGTTGTTCATAGTATTCTCTTATCCTTTTGATGTCTCCAGTATCTGTAGTAATGTCCTCTTATTCCCTATATTGGTAATTTATGTACCCATTACTTTTTTCTTGATCATGATAGCCAAAGTTTATTAATTGTATTGCTGTTTAAAATTTTTTAAAATATTTATTTATTTTTGAGAGAAAGAGAGAGAGACAGAGTGTGAGCAGGGGAGGGGCAGAGAGAGACAGAGACACAGAATCTGAAGCAAGCTCCAGGCTCTCAGCTGTCAGCACAGAGCCCAATGTGGGGCTCGAACTCATGAACCATGAGATCATGACCTAAGCCAAAATTGGATGCTTAACTGACTGAGCCACCCAGGAGCCCCTGTACTGCTCTTTTAATTTTATTGATTTTTCTGGCTTATTTTTTTTCTAAGTTTTTCATTGTTTTTAGCTCTTACCTTTTTTTTTCTGTTCTTTTTCTACTATCTTGAGGTGGAAGCTCAGATTGTTGATCCTAGACCTTTATGCTTTTACTATAACCATGTTAATGTAAAATTTTCTCACACTACTTTATCTGCATCCCACACATTTTGTTATGTTGTATTTTCATTTATTAAATAATAATCAAAATAATTTCTACCATTCTTGTAATTTACTTGTTGACTCGTGTTATTCAGATGTGTTGTTTAGTTTCCAGATAGTTGAAATTTTACAGATATCTTCTGTTATTGATTTTTGGTTCAATTTCAATGTGATCAGCCCTTTAAAACTTATTATGGATTATTTTGTGGCATAGAATATGTTCTATAGTTGTGAATATTTGTATTCTGCAGTTGAATGGAAAGTTTATTTAATAAAAGGCAACTAAGTCAAATTTGTAAGTGAGATTAAAATCTTACTGCCTTTTTTATGGTCTACTTCTTATTTTTTTAAGTGGGAGCCTAGCATGGGGCCCAACGTGGGGCCCATTGTGGGGCTTGAACTGACAACATTGAGATCAAGGCCCAAGTTGATATCAAGAGTCAGATGCTTGGGGCGCCTGGTTGGCTTAGTCGGTTGGGCGTCCGACTTTCGCTCAGGTCATGATCTCGCAGTTCGTGGGTTCGAGCCCCGCGTCGGGCTCTGTCCTGACTGCCAGCTCAGAGCCTGGAGCCTGTTTCAGTCTGTGACTCCCTCTCTCTCTGACCCTCCCCTGCTCACGCTGTCTCTCTCTCTCTCTCCTAGAAATAAATAAAACATTAAAAAAAAATTAAAAAAAAAAAAAGAGTCAGATGCTTAAGTGACTGAGGCACCTGGGTGCCCCAAATGGTCTATTTATTTTTTCAATTCCTCAAATTGGTGTGTGGAAATCTCCAACTCTCTCTGTAGGTTTGTCTTTTTCTCCTTTCAGTTATATCAGTTTTGCTTCGTGTATTTAAGTTCTACCAATAGGTACTCGAATATTACTTGTTGTTATATTGTCTTAATGAATTTATCCCTTTATCACAATTAACTGTCAATTTTTTTGCCCTTGGAATATTCATTGTTCTGAAATATTCTTTATCTGATATTAATATAGCCACCCAAGCTCTTTTTGATTAAAGTGTTCATGGTGTAACTTATTCCA